ATCACTGAAATGTCACGATAAGTAACAATTTTAATTCACAAATTACATATGTAGTTACTAAACCACATACCTTCAAACGCAGAGGCCAAATTCTTTCCCCGATTACGTCATCCGAACCGAAAACGTCACGATAAATGTGTGCCATTTGTATCCATCCACTACACTAATCGTTGCCTCTTTCATATGTCTCAGAGAGGATGGATGTTAAAATAAGCCCGTCTTACATTAGGTTTATTTTTGTATCTTGTATGTGCCAAATACATAGGTAATATTTGACTTTTCAAGCCGTACTTCGTCCTTTCTCCATACAATCAAAGAATGGACACCTGCATTCCCATCCTAGCGTATACATAATAAACGTGGATAAATAATTCTAAAATAAAATCTAAAGTAGCAAAATTCAAAATCGGTGAAAAGAATAATGCGAAATTCTTAATTTAAAAAAGTCAGTAGAGAATAATAGAAATTAAAAATGTCGGATGCAATACGCCTGAATTTAAAACGAAAATAGTCTTAGACAGGCACTTTGCACGATATTGAGACAAATACGTATAAATCTATTAATATTATAAAACTCATATTTCAGTTATAATCACACTAATAAACAATTTTATGATCCTCTTAGAAAATAGACTGAAGTGGATTTTTTTATCCTCTTTATTTGCAATTGTTCCTTATTTCGTAAAAATATTATACATACTATATGATACTCTCTTATTATACGAAAATATTAGGATGTAGATTCAATAAATCCAACTTACACGTATCTTTGAAAGTTCTAGACTATGATCTCCATATTGCATACATTTTGTATTTAACATATTCCTTTGAAATAAACTTAAATCGACCATTATGCATTCAAGTTAAGCGGTAAGATGTTCGAAATTTAAATTAATGTTTGACTACTAATATGCGATTTATATACTGCTCAAAACAATTAGCGGAACAAGATTTTTCTCCTTTCTATTGCTTAAACTAAAATTAGATTTAAATTAACTTGTACGCTATTTTTTACCTTGTTAATTTGTTAATTACTACAATTAATAAAAAAAATCAATTTGTATTTTTTTTATTAAAAAAAAAATTAAAATGTGCATTGTAGACGAAAAACTAATTGGTGATAAAAAAGGTCCATCAAAGAAATATTCTTATATCGTTTGAATATGCGTCTGTGTATAGTGACTTTTAGTAACGTGTGTGGCCTCCATGAGCCCTAATCACGGCTTGACAACGACGCGGCATGCTTCGTATGATCCTCCGAATATCTTCTTGTGGAATTCGCTCCCATTCTTCAATCAACGCTTCAGTGAGCTGCTGCAGTGTTTGAGGTGCAATCGGACGCTTCCGGATGCGCCTGTCAAGCAAGTCCCAAATGTGTTCAATTGGATTTAGGTCAGGGCTCATGGAAGGCCACTCCATTACACGGATTTCCTGCTGTCGTAAGTTATCTGACGTGATGGCTGCAGTATGCGGCCTGCCATTATCTTGCATTAAAAGAAAATCTGGGCCCATACCATATGCTGCGGGCCAAACATGATCTTCGAGCACATTTTCAATGTAAGTTTGAGCACACAAGCGCCCGGGAGCAACGACGAGATCTGTGCGCTCGTCCAAACTAACTCCGCCCCAAACCATCACAGAGCCACATTCAAATTTGTTATATTCCTGGACTGCTGCTGCACTGTATCGCTCGCCTGGGCGTCTGTAAACACGGAGACGACCATCGCAACGTGTTAGACGGAATCGTGATTCGTCAGTAAAAAGCACTGGCCTCTAATGTCGAAGTTGCCAATTAGCGTGATTTTGCGCGAACTGTCGGCGAGCTTGTCTATGTTGAATTGTTAGACGCACAGCCCGAACTGGTCAGCGTGATCTCAAATTGGCTTCCAACAACCTATTTCTTACCGTCTGGTCGGAAATTTCTACACCAGTAGCCGTCCTTAGTGTATTTTGTTGCAGATCTCTTGCAGTTGTGGTGCGGTTACGTAAAGCACAGTTGACGATGTAGCGATCTTGCAAACGTGTAGTTTTTCTCTTTCCACCTTGACCACGCCTTCGTGAGTATTCTCCCGTCTCACGGTATCGCTTCCAAAGTCTGTAGATAACAGAAGGGGCTACTCCTAGATCATTTCCTACAAATCGCATAGTTCGACCCTCTTCAAGCAAAGCGATAGCTCGGGAGACATGCAATTCAGTCAGATCTGGCATTATGACCTAAACTCACTCGCTTCAATGAATAACAATACTAAAAAGGCTCACTTCAATTTCTATTAATACTCAAAAGATTGAAAAAAACTACTTAAAATGTGTTTTCTGTGATTAGAAAGTAATGAAAATTCAAAGACGATTTTTTATTAATTGTAGTAATTAACAAATTAACAAGGTAAAAAATAGCGTACAAGTTAATTTAAATCTAATTTTAGTTTAAGCAATAGAAAGGAGAAAAATCTTGTTCCGCTAATTGTTTTGAGCAGTATAAAATGTTAAGATGGACTTATTCTTTTAAAGTAGTTTATACGAGACTGTTATTTTATAGTACTTTAAGTTAACAAATTTATTTATATTTTAAACTTTTTCGAACTTATCTAGTAACACCACATTGAATATTCTAAAGGTGGGAACTGACCAAAGTTACGAGGTGTAATGTAGCATTCGCATCGAGCGTGTTACGCATCGAGCATGTTACGCCGATTTTAAAACACAGCGTCAAAACTCTGTGCTCCGCTTTCGCCGCCAGTGTTCACGAGATGTGATAGTGATAATGTTGATATCTTTCATTCTATTCAATTATTGTTTCATCCAAATTAAGAAGAAGAAAGAATGTGGACTGGACATCAAACTTATTTAAAAAAATCGGTTGTCTGTAAAGTCGGTTTACTGACGATAGTTGAACGTGACAACGTCATAAAAAAATATTGATGGGATGGTTACATTTAAAAAAATAAAAAAATTTAATTTAATTTGTTTGATAGGTATTTTGTATGGATATAGAGAAGGAGGTAAATGGAAATCACAATTAATTGATCAAGTTACATTTATTTGTACGCATAAATACAATTATGTCAATTTTAAATGGAACGCCTCAGAGCGAGGTAACGCCGCATGAGTCATGTTTTTTCGTGCGTGCAGCCGGCTCCATCGAATTATAAGACGTTGTCACGTCAAAAACACAGGCGTATGAGGTGGTTTGTTATTGATTGCAATATTAAAAAACCAAATGATTACTGGACAGTATAAAAACTTTGTACGAATGTCTCGATTTTGAAGAACTGTTGAATTTAATTGGACCAAAAGTACTTAAAAAAGACACAATTTATAGAAAATCATAATCATGATCACTCGCGACGTGCGACGCGTATTGACTAAACCGCGTAACAGTCAAAGGATTCGCCAAAAAACCGACAGCCGGGTGGAGCACTCAAAGCGAGCAACGCTCGGCTCGTTGCTCGCTGGTTTCCCCGTAACACGACGTACTGACTGCACGAATGCTCGCTGTGTAACGTGTTACATTACACCTCGTAACTTTGGTCAGTTCCCACCTTAAGAGAAATTTTCATTCTACAAATAGTACTACAAAAAGTTACACCATGTTATAAAATGAGCCGTAAATAAAGTTTTAGTCAACGTTTTATAATAATGCTACAAGAGTCAGATGGGTAACATGTATCAAAACTGTTCAACTTCAGGTGATGCTGATTTAGGATGTTATTTGGAATGACCTCTGGCATTGAGAGTGTCCATGGGCACTATCACTTAACATCAGGTGAGCCTCCTGGCACCCCCTGTTCTACAAAAAAAGACTGTGCGAACTATCATGCCGTATGTCTAAATCCAATTCCTTTTTGGAATATGAACGTCAAAATTAGTTAAATCCCGACTCTGATGGGTCCTAAATCCTTTCAGCTTCTATCACCGCCATGGTAATAGAACAATTATTGTAATTGTCGTTACTTTACGATTCAGTGTGCACTCGGCTTATATCTATTTAAATTGGTCAAGAAAAGTTTTTCAATATATTAAGCAAATCTCACTTAAGCATATTTGTAGATAATTAAAAACTTTTAGGGTTGAATATTTGTTTTACAACTTTTTGAACAGTCAGTAACCCTAAATCGCGTTTAATGCGAAAATGTTGGGTTTAATACATACATGAAACCTCAACGTTATTTTCATTTATCTCACGTAGTCGGATGGCATTTCTTAATCAACTTGCATTGGAATGCAGATTCTATGGCAGCATAAGTTGCAGCAGCAATAAGTATTAAATCCTTTAATTATTAATATTATTAACGCGAAAGCTGATGAAAGATGCTTAAAGCGCCTTCCTTGAAATTCCTTGTAAAGCATATTGCAAATAAGCAGCTAATACATAACCCAACGGGGATTACAGTGTGTACAATTTGATGATATTAGATATTCCAGTGTTCTTAAATTATGTAGTGCCTATATGTCTACCGAGAGCAGTGTTGGCCTAGTGGCTTCAGCGTGCGATTCTCATCCCTGAGGTCGTAAGTTGGATCCCCGGCTGTGCACCAATGGACTTTCTTTCTATGTGCGCATTTAACATTCACTCGAACGGTGAAGGTTAACTTTGAGGAAACCGACATGTCTTAGACCCAAAAAGTCGACAGCGTGTGTCAGGCACAGGAGGCTGATCACCTACTTGCCTATTAGATTGAAAAGTTATCATGAAATAGATTCAGAAATCTGAGGCCTAAAAAGGTTGTAGCGCCACTGATTTTTTAATTTGTTTTATATGTTTACCGTATATCCGTGAAGTTAATTATTGGAAATAATAAGTTACCTAAACATTGCTGTTAATTTACATGTATTTTTTTTAAATTTCGGTAAAATGCATTTTAAACGGTGCAATAGAAGTTCAGTTTTATAATTTATGAAATACAAATCAATGTTGGAAAATTAATGAAAGCCGTAGGTTGGTAGTTGAATGCCTGAGTAAATTGAGTTAACTTTATAAATCAATCTCTCCACCGTAAATATTAGGCATATGCAGGTATAAGATGATCAAATATGGCACTAAAGTAGTACGCAGGTTTTCGCCGGTCAGCGAACTCCAACTCGTCCATAAACATCATGAGGATATTTTCAGGGTAGTCGTAGTCCGGGACCGCGACCGCCGGCGGCCACCAGACCAAGCATAAGTTACAAGCCCTTTGAGGGGAAAAGGCACTTCTCTTCTGTTTACCTTCTCGCCAGAAATCTGCCGGATCATGTCGTTAGTGGGCTATGCGTGTTCCTAGATAAAAAAATATGTTTAATTTCTTTATTTACCTTTAAGGTATAAGAAGAAAAAATCTAAAATTACATTAAAAACCAAACAATTAATACAAAAATAAGGCTTCCAAATTAGCACTAAATTGTAGGCCGAAGGGAAATTAAATTTAGATAGGACGGTAAAGTGTCGAAGGAGATTAGAAGATAATAATAATTCATTAAGATTAACTTGATCCTTGAAGTTGAAATGGGTTTTGATTTTTGAATTATTTAAAGGTTACTTTCGAGAGCGTTTGATTTTAGGCTAGCTTTAATTCATTGTGATGAAAAATTTATTAATTAAATAATCTAGTTCCTTCTTATGTTTCTGTATCTATTTCATTTATATTTTTTCTTTATAGGCAAGATCAGCCTTCTGTATTAGAAACCTTCCGGCCATTGGGTCTAGAAATGCCGGTTTCCTTACAATTTTCTTCTTCATCTTACGAGCCAGTGTACAAAGTAAATAAAATCGATTGGCGCATAACTGTTTAAATAGACACAACCAGACATTCAGCAGACTTAGCGGTGAGTATGACCCTCTCTCTATGGATTTTGACTCTGAATCTTAGAGTTGATGATTGCACCAAGGTAACACTGCTTATTTATTTATTTAACGAGAGCCGCGGTGATAGAACGAAGTAGTCATGTAATCATTTTTGGAGCGAAATAATACGAATGACTATCTATAAAGTCTAGTGAAAATGACCTTTTTGTAAAAATTCCTCGTTCGTCGTATTGATTTAAATTTTCCTTTATCCAAGTATATCCTTATCGTTGGATATGATGTGGCGAGTTGAAACTTTGTTGTAAAAGATTCTTGCGTAGAGATAATGTCAGTTCATTTAAGTTTGATCGTTGCCTGTTAACTTAGAGAGTGTACCAAGAGTAAAAATGTATGTATATCGTACAAATAGTGAGGCTTTTGTACACGAAAACTATACATAATGTTTACTAACCTGTAACTGGCATCTCTAGGCCTTGGCCTCAAAGTTAGATTTTTATCTGTTTCGTGATCATTTACTTAATAGGCAACTCGGCGATCGGCCTTTTGTGCCAGACATACATAAATGATTTTTGAAGGCATGCAGGTTTCCTCACGATGTTTCTTTACTGTAAGAGCGAGTAGTTAATGCTCACATAGAAAGAAAAACCCAGTGGCGCACAGCCATGATTCAAACACCCGATCTCAGGGGGGAGCGGCGCACTAGGCCGACATTGCTCTGTGACAAACACCTATCAAATATATATACGAATATTGACACGTAAATTAATAAAACGATTTATAACAAAAACTATTAATTACAAGTAAAATTCATTTTATATGTAGTTTCATACTAGTGAATTACTCAATTAGTAATTTAAATTCGAAAACTATAAACTATGCCATTTTTAATCCTATGCAAATAGATAAAAATTACAAACAAATGACTCACTATCTATGAGTATAAGAGACATGTTGCCTGACTGCCCTTTGGTGTTATCAATTTGTCTCGACATCCTTTAATATGTAAATAATAATATGCATTTAAACTTAAATTGACTGCTAAACTGATTATAATAAATATTTTACTATATCAATAAAAGTAGGTTTATAGTACGTATAATACGGGCTGGATATAAAACCTGGACTTTATGGTTGTTTTAAATAGTCTATATTTTACGATAAAAATAAACAAAGTATAAAAGGAATAGGAAAAATAATAAACTTCCGAGCTTCCTAAGGGAAACTAAGCTAAACCAACATAGTTATCTAGAGGCTTGAGAAATTGAATTGTTAGTACATGCTATTTTCATTAAAACAATCCTTTAAATTATTTGATAATTTACATAACATTTTTTCATGTTGGTATGATATACAATTCGCCAACAGAAGTGTTACAGTTAATTCCAGTCCGCATTTGGGCTACTTTTAGTTATTAAGTGAATATGGGTTAAATTAGTATGCCGACATTATCAACATTTCTTTGATTAGTATGTCCTAATGATAACAATTTGTGATAACTACTTTTTTTCTACAGTAAGACATTTTAAAATGTACCTATATAAACACTTTTTATTTCATTTGGAGTCCCAACTAATGTTCATTCTATGTTCAAAATATTAAATTGTTTTGTTCTCTTCTAATCAAGACTTATTTCCTAACATTAAAACGAAATGGGCTGTGCGGATTTCGTACAGACTTTAATTTGGGAAGAAAAATTAAGCTAGCTATATTTCCCGAAAACAAAACAAACCTATTTCTTTAAAAAATAATAAAATTATTATATCTTATTAATTCAAGCAAAACCAACATTTTATATAAAAAATATACGCTTAACATGGAACGTATGTTAAAAAATATCACCAATTTACCTCTAATGTTATCACGTCCCGAATAACTCAAGAATGTGTAAAAATATAAATACAAAGTCGGAACGTTATTTATGTTACTGTAAAGGCACTTCATACGAGTTTTTCACAAATTATTCTAATTATTTATATTCCTTACACAAACAATGAACTGATGCAATTATCAGGTTTAATGTAAAAATTATAACTTTCATCTTAATTTTATAAATTGTTGAGGTAAAGTACAGCAGAGATTACATTTATTTATTATGTAACTCTGTACACGATATAAATGTCGTATGGAAAAACACACGAATAATGTAATTATTACATACTTAATAATATAAAAACATAGGAATAAAATTCCATTGTTCTTATAGAACCAGCAATGCGCAGTTGCAACTCGAAATGTTCACTTGTATTTTTCACCTACGATGGTGAATTTTTTACGCCTCGACTCGCCTCGCCAGATAACTCGCTTGAGGGACTCAACTGTATCACTGATGAGGTGGGTGCTGAGGAGCCAGAATGCTGGTGGTAATAGCGGGAAGGCTGGACAAGGGTTATTGCAATTGCAAAAAAATTATGTGTTTTTGGGTTGGTTTTGTTGTAATTTCATAATTAATTTTATTGATTGATTATACCGTAAAGTCCCACTAATATTATATTTAGGACAATATTGTAACTAACATAATAATAACTAATGACTTATGATTGTCGGCTTAAAGAAAGAAATTATAATAATTATTATTTTTAGCAGAGTGGCCATTTTATAAATTTGATATTACTTAGTGCGTATACGCAACGGTGCAAAGTGAGTTTTGGCCTCCGAGACAATGGATGTCTACTGTCGACTATCTTACGCAATTTATATTAAAATGGATGAATTTTCTTCGTGTGGCCGTGGGCCAGAAAGGTCAATCTCTGTTTCATAATTTATTATCCTAGTATCTAACACAGTTATTGTTATACAAAACTACATAGCACATATTATAAAAATTTTTTTCCAAGATTTTGGGAAAAAAAAACCCCCCCGGAAAAAAATTGGGGGTCCCCCCCAAAAAAAAAAAAAAAAAAAAAAGCAATGTTATACAACTTTCACTAATTGAGCTTTTGCGGGTGAGAATAAATTTACACTTTCATACATAAGTTAAATTTATAGACACAAACCCCAGAGATCTAAAGAGAAAATTGATTTCAAAATAACTTTATTCATTCCTAAAACATTCCCTGTAACGTTGTACCCTGTTTGATCCCTGTGGCAGTGTACCTTTAACGTTGGCAGCATTTCCTAGCTGTATTGAGATATTTATTCGTTCAGCGAGGAAAGCACCAGCTCTGGGGTCACCGGTGCTATCTACCAGATACCAATATAAGTCTTTTATTAGCGCCTGTGCACTTGAAGTTGGAGCAAAGATTTGATACGTAGATTTTGTGGCTTCACTCACATATGGAGCCACCGGAGTCGCTTCATTATATCCTCCATAGTATAAAACATTGTCATTATTTTAAAATTTGATTTCAGTCTTTATATAACTGGTTTGTTACGTCTCCAGACGCTAATTAACAAATCTTGGCCTTAACCACTCCCAACGTATTGCCTTAATAGTTGCTTGTATACATTGGACAGCTAAAACACTTGTTTTAGTTATTTCAATTCAATTGAATGAACTATTCGTTTATCATTTCTGAGCCACTCTTCATTCACTCATTCTTCATGAGCCACTGAACCACTTTACGAGAGTATACACTTTTTTAGCTTAGTTTAACGCTCAAGACATTTGACTTGGAGACACATAATTATAACGGGTTAGTAGACATTTAAAATGCCTTAAAAACAGGTGCAGATGCGGTTTGTACCATACATGGTATTTTTTTAACAATCTACAGTAATTTAAAATAAAAAGCTTCTCCATATTTATTTAAAATGAATGACCATTAAATTTAGTACACCAAAATAATACTAACAGCAGTGATTTCTAAAATTCGTCGGTTTTAATCCTTAAATATGCGCCACAATCTGCTTTGACGGTGTAAATTATACTCGAAATATGCAAATAAACCAAGTGCACTGTACAGCAGTATTATTCTCATACATCAATATTATTTTTTACCAAGTTAATACGTTCTCTGGTGAGCTATTTTCAAACAAAGACCAGGCTTGCTTAGCAACGCGTACACGAGAAAGATATTATTTTGAAGTAGGTGCACGATATTATATGATATATAAACATAGTTATCACACGTATCACGTCTTTTAATTATTAGGGTATCTTTTGATTACAGATGAGATTCAGACTTACCGCGAAACATGACTCCAGTACGTTCCAATACATTTTTGACCTAGCGTAAAATATGGCTTTATTATTTTTTTATTGTTCATAATAAATTCCTGATTTTGTTACGTGAATAAGTGTCTGATAAAATACTAAAGCGCTCCGAATTAAGCGTGAAGCGGAGGCGTAAAATTAAAGTATTATGTATTTTTGACAAATTAGTAACAGATTTTGCTTTGCTTGCGGGTGGGTATTGTGAGATTATGAAGGTAATATTTGCGTTAATATCTGTGATTGTCTATTGCATTTAAAATGGCTTCATAATTCGTATTTTTAAATCTTTGCCTTATTTCCTGTATTTACGTTGTACATAGTCGGTAGTTTCACAGGCTTTCTAATATTAACATTTCAAAACTTATACGAAATAGTTTCTTATTTACAATATGTCTCTTGTTCTCACTATTATGTGTATACATAGTTACTGTGTGGGCCTGGATCCGGAAGCTATATCCAGGATGAGGGTGCATCCCTCGGTAAAATACTTTAGGGATGTATGCTTTGCGGTTATTTGGTTGTGTTAAAATAAAACTCCCTAATTGTTTGTAGAGAAGAGGTGAAGGTGGAATGCCTTTTATTTTCAAAACTATGTACATTTATACCCAAAAATTATCCTTCACTTACTACTAGTACTAACATGTGGTGCAAAAAGTTGGTCTTTTTCTGCGCGCAGCCATCGAAGCGTCCGAACGTGTTCTTCTCAGAACACTGTGATATCGTAGCCTTACGATAACGCTAATAATAATAATAATAATCTTTATTTTCTTCTCTCACATATACATACAAGGTTTTTATGATTAAACTAAGATGATAACATTAGGAAGTGTATGTGAGAGACTGGTCTCTGTAACAGGAGACCTGAGTGACAGATAGCCAGCCTCTCCACACCGGAACACGTACAATCATGTCATTGTCATAAGATACAATAGAAGAAAATAAGTATTAAGTGCTAAAAGAAAACATTGCAAACGGAGTCTTAAAAATAAAATTGGTGTGTGTTTGTGTGTGTGTGTATGTGTGTGTGTGTCTCTCTCTCTAAGTGTGTGTGGCGTGCGTGGGTGTGTGTATATGTGTGGGGGAGCGGGTGTGTTACAGAATAACAGTTATTAGATCTTCTGTTTCTCATAACTCAACGTCTTCAGCCAAGTATAACCTTTTTTTTACATTCATATTTGGGTAGTGAGTAAATGTTAATTTTTTCATTTAATTTATTATACAAGTAACAGCCTAGGAAACCAAAGAATCTTTGCAAGAAAGAAGTTGTCCATTTTGTAATACAACAGCAAACTTTATGTTTAATCCGCTTGTTTATATTTAAATCGCTAATAACTGTTCTTTTCAGAACATATTATCGTATTTTACGAAAACGTTTATAAACTGTTCTTTTCAGAACATATTATTGTATCTGTACGATAACGTCTAACAACTGTCCTTGTCAGGACATATAACCATGTCTTACGACAACGATGACAACTGTTCTTTTCAGAACACACGACCGTTTCTTTTACCCTTGATCTGTTCTTGTCAGAACACATCACCGTTTCATTACGACACGTTAACTAATCACCTACAATACTATGCGCTGGTTCGGCTGTCGCGTGTCAGTATAATAAAAAAGGGAATAACAGTAATCGATAAGGCTAAGACTAGCAGTAAATCAACGGCGGCGTGTCCCACTCCAAGCACTGGATCCTTTAATAACGGTAAAGAAAGTGCAGTACGGTATTCGGTCTATAGTTAGTGCGCACGCGACAGCGATTAAAATTTAATTCATCCTTGCGCTATTACGCCGGAACCCCATCTACCATTTCCGGTTCGTGTGACAAAGTCAAAACC